ACTGTAAATAGAATAGCAACTACTATAGGTTGTTATAGGTACTAACCGGTTATATAGTGCTTATTTCTAGTGCTTCTTACTATAAAAGGAAATGCTAATATAACGTCGGGTCTTAGTAAGTCTATTTTCCGGAGTAGCGACTAGAAGTATAAGTAAGATATTTAGCCTTAATGTAACTACCTAAGGAGGTTCTTATTATAATATCCGATAATAATACCGCCTATGGCTATGGTGTTGTGTTATATTATATTACTAGAATTACTAACTATGGCTGTATTATATTAGACGTTAGCTACGATCCTATAACCGGAATTTTTAGATTACGAGCTTACTTATTTAGATCTTATTTTCTTAGTTTTAAAAGAATTGAAGTGAGTATTGTTAGGTAAGTAGTTTATAACCGATTATTCTAGTAGTACCTGAATAAGGACCTGCCTGTTAGGAGCTATATAATAAATAGCTACTTAAGTATATATACTTCTTTAATACTAAGCGACAGACCCATTTCTAATTAGCTTCTCTTATAAGTAACGAATCTTTATATAGCTAATATAGTTATTATAAAAATACGGTATCCTTAAGCTCTATTAGCTCTGTTAAAGAGGTGGACTATAGCTAATATGCCCCTCTAGTTATATAAACTATTATTAAAGGCTTAACTACTAACACACGGATCGTGAGACGCTTATATAACATAATGCAAACCTCGATATTAAACGTAGATAACTTTCTTAAAAAGTAGTAAAGCTAATAATGCCAAAGAACACTCTCGCAATGGATAATACTAAAACACTACTCAGGAAAGCCGTGTACGTATTTTATAGCTCCGAACAAGCCGTTGTAATTAAGGTCTTATTATATTATAAAATATATACCCCTAAGACGTAGAAATCCTGATAAGCCGACTCATTACGCCTTAAATCTAGTATATTAATAACTTGACTATGCTCTTTATTTATTATACTTAACCTATTGTTAAGAAAGGCCTGTGCTAAGTTAGAGCGAGCGAGGCTTATTTATATATAAGTGCGTTTATATATTAATTTACTACGTATCGGCCTCGAACTGCTTCTCTTGGTTCTTGTGTAACGTGACGAACTACGCTGTGTCGTCCGTCCCTGGCCCTGATGGCTCGCTTTTAACGGCCACCCCTGACCCCTGCCTGACCTCGAATTATTGGCTCCTGGTGCGCGATGGGAAAAACTGCTGGTATGGTACCCCCGTTGTCTATGGTAAATCCCTTATTGTTATAGCCCTCTTTTATATATTACCCCCCTTTTATTAATTATTCTGCTATTTATGTTCTATTTGGTAATGTTCTTATATATTCCGTACGTAGTAGTATATATAATAGTATAAATAGTAACGTAATTTATTAACTTAGGCTAGTGCGATATAGGTAATAAGTTTAATTATAGTATTAGGGTAATAGAACGACTTTAATTTAGGTTAGTTATAGATAATATTAGTTATATTGCTAATTACTTTAGTAACTTCTGCCCTAGTTTTAGTAATAATTAACTAATAGTAATTATATAAATGGGCTATGACTTTATTAGCTATGACTATATACTTATATAACGTATATATTAAAATAGAATACTACGTATTATAAACGAATAGCTCTATCTTTAGCTATACGTATTAATTACTTTTTTATTTACTATTTATAACTAATTCCTCCTATCCTCTCTTTATAATCCTACCTTCTTACTCCTTAATTTTATATACTTTCTTCCTAATTTATTTTACTCCTTACTTATGTTTTATCGCTTAGTTAAGTTCTCTAGCCTATTAATAACCCTATTATATAATTAGCTAATAAATGCGGGGACTAAGATAATATTATAAAACTATTTACTATCCCCTTCCCCTATTTCTAAACTTAAATTACGAAATATAATACTAAAAACTAGATTTTTATAATAACCCGGTTTATAGCTTTAATTGTATACTACTTTTATTTATTTTATTATTAGGAATTTTTATAGCTTTATACTTCTTTTACGTACTAGCTTTAACCCCCCCTCTTCTTAGCCCCATTTTTAATTTTAATAATAGCCGTAACGGCTTTAATATATAACTATTGCCCACGTAATAGTAGTTTTTTTTTTAAATAATAACTTTTTATTATTATTTTGTTCTTAAAAACTAAATATACTTTATTTTAATAATATATAATACTCTAAGTATTTTAATTAAGTCCTAAATACTATCGTCTACTTTTATTATATAAAAAAAAGCCTTATAAAAATTCGAAGCCTTTAATCTACCCTATTAAACCCGCCTCCCTATCTATTTCTATATATTTACCTCCCGTAGCCCGTATTTTTTTAACCTACTTATTTCTTTTATAAATCCTAGCTTAAAAAATAGCTTTTTTACCTCGTTTAGCATAACTATATATATATATATAATTATTAATAATATAATACCCTAATACTAATATCCGCCCTTTTTTATTTTTTATTACCTACCCTTACTCGCCTTCTCCTCTTATTAACTATATAACTCTTATAAAAAAAAGTAGTTATAGTACTTACTAAACCTCTTTATCCCCCTTACTCTTTAAAAATATACTTATATTTAGAACCCTATATTAAACGTTTTTTATACTAGCCCGTTCCTTAACTAGGCCGTATTATAATTAAGCCTTATATAGTCTAGCCTTACGTCCTCTATTATACTTACCTTATAATAAAATATATACTTATTAAATAGCTATATTTAGAGCTATTTACTAAACGCTTTTACCTCCTTTACCTCCTATATTACCTTATTTACTACCTAGCTTTAAATCTATTATATATTAATTTTATACCCTTATATTTCTACTTTATCCTTATCCTTACTTATTTCTAAGTTATCTACCTCTAATATACTATTTATTACTTAATATACGTCGTATTACGCCTCCCCCTTTTTATACTTATTTTAATTACTATACTTATCTATTTTAAAATTTAGAACTACCCTCTAGTATAAGCTATTACTAACAAATTCTTTTATTACGCTCTATACTATAAGCCCAGTCCTAGTCTAACGTCCTATATACCCCGGCCCCCCCTCTACCCCCGCTACCCGTATAATAATTATTTTACTTAGCTTACCGTTTTACTTAACTTACCCGCTCTACTATATATAGTCTACTATCTTAAATAATATCTTAATATATATTATTACCTAGATATTAAGTATATTAATTTTAAGCCTTAGTACGTTTATTACTACGATTACTTATTCTCTTCTATACTATACCCGTTTAAATCTACTTATCTAAGCCCGTAGCCTCTCTATTTATTATTTTATATATTAATATTAATATATATTATAATTTAGTTTTATAACTAAAGTATCCGTAGCCATAACCGTCCTATAATATATAATTATTTTAACTAGTACTAAATATATTTTAAGCCTTATATTAAGTAACGTGCGAACTTATTATATAATCCTTTATATAGCCTCTTTTATTATTATTACTATAACTACTTTTATACTATATACTACGTTAGCTCGTATTATCTTAGCCTAGATTATTATAATCTCTTTATATTAAGTATAAATAAGCTCTAAGAATACTCTTATTATAATAATAACGTTATTATTAAATATATTATTTACCCTAATAAGTACGAGCCGCCTAGTTCTTATAACTTTAACTAGAAGTCCTACGTACTTTTAAAATAGTATATACTTTATTAAATATAAACTTATTTAATTACGCTATTACTTAGAGCCCTTTAATATAATTTTAAAATTATTTTATTATTACTAACTTAGGTATTATAAATATAAGTAATACTAGCCTAGGTAACTAGTTATTATACTACTCTGCGTACGGGATTTTTATTTATTAATACTGTTTTATTAAGTTATTTTAAAGTAATATGAGCGGGATTACGATTATTATTACGTCCCCGGGGTAGCTTATTATTAGTAATATAAAGCTTAAGCTCTTTTTATTCCCTATCCCTATTATTATTATAACTGGGCTCTTATTTATTATAATTACTTAGATTATTAATTACTAGGCGCCCCAGAACTATACCTTTACCCCGTATAACTAGATAAGTTTATAATTAATATCGATCTATTATTATAACTTCTATTTCGCTAGCTATAATATCTAAAGTACTTTATTATATATTAGTACTATTTTTTATTTATAGCTAAGTATAAGACCCTTATTAAAGCCTTTTAGTACGGATAAGAAGCTTAGTAATTAGTATTATTCTTTATTAATTTAATAAAAGCAGACCTACTATTCGTTCGTTTCGAACTTATCTTTAGTTATTAGCTATTTATAAATTAGCTTAGTAATTTTAGAGCTATAGCCTATTTATAAGTTATATAAGCTATTCTCTTCATTATTATTATTATTACTCTCGTTATTACTATAATTAAAATTAACTTCTTAGAATAGCTTAGTATACGCTATTAATATATTATAGAAGTATTATTACTTAATAGCTATTAAGATATATTACTAGTTATTAATATTTAGCTTTTACTTAAAAGCTAATACACTAAGTGTTACGGCCAGCTAGTCGTAGTGAGTATGTTAGCAGAAGTTGAGGCTGCGATAACTAAGTAAACAGTGTCGTAGTCGTGGATAGCTTCCCTGAAGCTATGTCTGTAAATCGTAAGGTGGGTAGGGCTTCGGTGATCAATCGTAGTCTTGTCAGAAGGGGTTCTCAGTGAAGATAGCTGAAAGCGATCGTAAGATCTGATACTAAGTTGATTGCTGAAGAAGCTATGGAAGTCTGTCCTTGTGCCCGGCTCAAGTCCACACTATATACAAGTCTCGTTCCTGAACATATTCTTTGTCCGTATGTTTACCCAACGGTTCCCGTGTTCTGAACATACGGGTTCCGTATCGTGAAAGGACGGACCCCGTATCTCGAACGTGGAGGTTCCTTATCTCTTATCGTCACGTGACTTGTCCCATAGTTCTTCCGTCCCGAGAGAGTCGCCCTGAGTTCGTGTTCCCGCATATGGTGTGGTAGCCGCCGTAGGTCCTGTGGGGCAGGCCCTGGCCTTGTCATGCGTGTTGGGTCGTAACATCAGCTCCTCCTCTCAAAGGTCTAGTCCTCTAGGCCTATAAGTAGGTCCCTTGTTCCCAGGTTGGGGAATCATCAAGCTTGCCTTTCTAGCGCAATGTGCTGACACGATGTCAGGTCGTGTTGAAAAACGTTCTTTGAAAAACACTATCTCGAAACTTCGGTCGGCTTGTGACGACGTGTTTGATCGTTTTGGTTCTAGCGACGTTATGCCCTGCACTCGGTGTTTTCGCGCCAAACGTCCATGTCGGATGGCTGATGGCGCCAAAACGTGCCAAGGCTGCAAAAACCTGAAGCGTTCTTGCGATGGTCTCGTTGTGGCATCGAGTCGTTCGTGCTTCCGCCGTTGTTCCGGTTTCTTAGGCTGACTATTTCGTAGTGCAACGGCTGAGTGACCAGCGTCAAGAATGGGAAGAGAAGGAGGAGCAGGCTAGCGACGCCTTGCTCGATCTTCATGAAAAACTGGCTCGGATACAGTCAGAGGTTGCTGAGGCAGCGGGCCGTCTTGCTCGTATCCGGGCGATCCGAAAGAAAGTGAAGGAGAGGCATGTGGAAACTTTTGCTCGTGGTATGCAGGAGTTGGAAGAAGAGGATGGTGTTCTTCCTGCGCTGGATGCTCACGAGCGGTGGGTCGTGAGCGATCTCCAGGCTGCTGGCGTTTCTAATGATGCCGACTGGCCTTCTTTCGGGATTGGCGACGAGTTCGCGTCCCTGGGGCCGTTGGTGTCGTCTTCTGGTAATCCTCGAGAAGCTGTCGAGAGTTCTGGAGGTTCGTGACGGGTTCCCATGTGTTTTCCTCGTGTCCGTAGTTTTTCCATTTGATTAAGAATTCTTTTGTTTCGTTCCTGACTCTATGGTCGATGATTTTTTCGACTTCGTATTCTGGTTCATTGGGTTCCACGATGATGCAATCTTCTGTGTGTGAGCCCTTAGGTGCTGGTTCGAGAAGTGAAATGTGAAAGACTGGATGACACTTCATCGTGTCTGGTAGTCTCAACTTGTAGTTGACGTTTGAGACTTTCTGAATGATTTCGAAAGGTCCGAGCTTTTTGTAGTCCAGTTTGTCGCTTGGTCGTTTTGTTTTGATGTTGCGGCGAAGGAGGTAGGCGCTATCTCCCTCTTCCAAGGTTGGTCCTCCAATCCTTGATCTATTCGCGTTTTTCTTCATGCGTTGACGTACAAACTCGAGATCCAAAGATGCTTTCTTCTGGATTTCTTTGAGTTTTGCCACGCTGGCCACTGCTTTAACAGCTTGTGGTCCTTGTCGTGCTTCTCCGTACACTGTTGGCTGATATCCGTAGTTCAAGTAGAACGGGGATTCTCTTGTGCTTTCGCCAACTGCGCTGTTGTATGCGAATTGGGCCATTGGTAACAATGTTACCCAGTTGTTCTGATCGTAGTTCACATAACAACGGAGGTATGTCTCGAGAATCTGGTTGATTCTTTCTGTCTGTCCATCGGTCTGCGGGTGGAAAGAGGTTGACAGTTTGTGATCTGTACCAAGTTGCGAGATCAGGGATCTCCAAAACTTTGAAGTAAACAGAGAGCCTCTGTCAGAGATAATTTCCTTCGGCGTACCGTGGTTGGCAACAACGATTTTGAGGAACGTGTACGCTAACTCCTCTGCGCTGCTGGCCTCTTTGTAAGGTATAAAGTGGGCGAACTTGGTGAGTCGATCGACTATAACCAAGATGCTGTCGTACCATACGTTCGTGAGTGGTTCTTTGGACTTTGGTAGTTTGACGATAAAGTCCCATGAGATTGATTGCCATGCTTCCGTTGGTGGTTGCAATGGTTGCAGCTCGCCATAGGGCTTGTGCGGGCTGTTCTTGCTTTTCTTGCAGGTCGCACAGTCCTTAATTGCTTCCGCAATTTCTGCGCGTGTGGCGGATTTGTCGTAGTGCTGGCGAATCCGTTTCCACGTTTTGGTAACTCCTTGGTGACCGTGTGCAGGTGCACTGTGAATTTCCATGATGAGCTCAGGGGTCATCCTTCCAGTCGGGCTGGTACTGATCCTTCTGGCTATCATAAGAGCTTCGTAGTTGGTACAAGGCTACCGTCTTCTTCTTGTTTGAGGATAACCTGTGTCTCCTCGGGGACCGTGACTTCGTGGTCGGGTCTTCTGCTGAGAGCGTCTGCTCTGCTGTTTTCTGAACCTTTCCGATAAATGATTCGGAAGTTGTATTCAGATAGGAACTCGCTCCATCTGACTTGTCGTTTGTTCAGGTTCTTGTTTGTCGTGAAGTTCGCGAGATTCTTGTGGTCTGTGTAGACTGTGACTTCATGCTTGGTTCCGGATAACTGTGGTCTCCATTCTCGAAATGCTTCGATGATGGCCATCAGTTCTTTGTCGTGGATTTGCCAATTCAATTCTGCTCCGTGAAATGCTTTGGAGTAGAAACAACATGGGTGAAGCTTTCCTTGTTCGTCTCGTTGTCCCAAGACCGCTCCCATGGCGAAGTCTGAGGCGTCAGTCTCGACTTCAAAGGGCTTCCGGGGGTCTGGAATTCTGGTAACTGGTTCCGAGACGACCATATTTTTGACCTTGGTGAATGCTTCTTCGCACTTGGGATCCCAAATGAATGGGGCATCCTTTCGTGTCAAGTTGTTGAGAGGTCTGACGATGTTGGCATAGTCCTTGAAATCGTCGATAGAAGTTGACGAATCCCAAGAATCCTTGTACGTCCTTGACGTTCTGCGGTGTAGGCCAGTCCCTGACTGCTTCCACCTTTGATGCTTGCATGTGGATTTGTCCTGGCGTGATGGTGTATCCGAGGAAGTCTACCTTCTGTACGTGAAACTCGCACTTGGAGGTTCGGCGTACAGTTTGGCATCCTGGGTTTCTGAAATACCATGTGGACATGCTCCTTGTGTGTTTCGAGGTCGGGAGAGAAGATGAGAACATCATCAATGTAGACAACAACAAAGATGTCAACGAACTCCCGGAGTACGTGGTTGACCATCGTTTGAAAGGTTGCCGGAGCATTGGTAAGTCCGAAGGGCATGACGAGGTACTCGAAGAGTCCTCTGCGAGTCCGAAATGCCGTCTTCCACTCGTCTCCTTCCTTGATTCGAATCTGGTTGAATGCTTCCTTGAGATCTATCGCGGTGAACCAGTTGGCTCCGTGAAGTAGGTCTCTGAGCTCAGTGATGAGGGTAAAGGATAGCAATTCTTCTTCGTGATTTCGTTGAGTTTCCTGTAGTCGATAACTGGTCTCGATTTTCCTCCTTTCTTTGGTACGAAGAATAAGGGAATCCTGCGGGGATTTCGAAGGTCGAATATGTCCCTTTGAGCTTCTCGTCGATGTACTCGTCGAGATAGTCTTGTTCTTCTTGATTCATAGGGTATATTGGATAGAACCCGGGTTGCGTTCCTTCTTTGAGTTCGATTTCCATATCCCAGCTGCTGTGTTCTGGTAACCCTGTTTCTTCAGGTTCCATGAATAGTTTCGTGTATATCCGGTACTCCTCGGGTATAGTCTGGAGTCGTTGCGATCCTCGATCGTCGGTACCGAGTGCGAACATCCTGTCGTCTTCTATCGTCCTGATGAAGGCTATGTATCGTGTTTGTTCTTGTTCTTCAGGTGTTGCTTGAAATCCGTTTGAACCCTTTTTCTTAGGTCGTTCAGTGACTGGATTTTCCCATAGGACCTGGCCAGTGGTCCAATCTATCCGTGGGTTGTGTTTTCGTAACCACGAGATTCCTAGGATGACGTCGATGTCTCCAATCTCCGTGATGTCGTACTGTAGTTGTTCTTGTTGATCGTTGATATATGTCGAAAGGTGTACGGTCTCTCGATTGACATATCCGTCATCATAGTCAACTCTTTCTCCTTCTACCGTTTGTAGTTTGTATGGATTGTCCTTCCATACCCATGGTAGGTCGAGTTTGTTCATTACTCTTGGTGATATGAAACTTCCTTGTGCGCCGCTGTCGATTATAGCGCGCAGTCTGTGTCCGTGTATTTCGAGTTTGACCCATAGGTGTGCGTCGTTGCACTGTCTGGTTGCACATAGGAACTTGTCTTCGATTTTCGCCTTTCGTCGTTCCTTTGCGATTGGCCTTCCTAGTTTTTTGACAGTCTGTTTCTCAGTCGTGCTTCTTGTTCAATTTGTTCCTCTCGTTCCCTCCAGGCTTGGGATTTGGGAACGTAGTGGATCTGACAATGGTCGTGTCTACATTCGTCCCATTCCATGTCGTTGCTGTTCTGGCATCGCATAGGAAAGCATGGGTCTGGTTCGAATGTTGCCTTGTCGAGTCCATTGAAGTATGTGAGCGTCCAGTTCGGTAGTTGGTCGTCGACGTAGACGTCCTTGATAGGTCGGTCGTCGCGTCTTCGGGGTAAGCGACTTTCTTTCTTGGGTGAGAGATGCCAGAGACACTTATCGTCGAGGCATTCTGCCCAAAATAATTCTTCGTGGAATGCGTCCTTGGTGTTGAGCAAGGAGCTATCTCCTTTGACTAGTGGTGTCATAGGTACTTCCTTAGGTTGACTAGTTCCGTGGAACTGTACTGTCTGGTCGTCTTCGTACGGATCAATGTTCTTACACCGTGGTTCTTCGGGTTCCTCATCAGAGCTGGTGTCGTCCACACTAGGATAGAATCCATGGTCGATCTCCGTCTGAGCACGTCGTCGAGCGACGTCGCGAGGTTCGTCCGAATCATAGGGTGATTCTTCGTCGAAGGTGTGGCTGCTGGAGCCGATCTCAAGTTCGTCCTTCTTGAGTCGAAAGTCTACCTTTCCATTCTTGATTTCGAAGTCAAGATTGGGCCTCTTGATTACTTCGATTTTGTCTTCGCGTTCTAGGTTCTTGAGTTGTTCTTTGACCTTGCGAATGAATTTTTTGTTTCCGTCGTCTCGTCGCATCACACAGATGGATTTGGTCGGGATGTCGTCCGATGGGGGTCCCTTCTTCCTAAGGGATTGTTTCTTGTTGTTTCGTCGTGCCATGTGGGCGAGATTACCCATGATTTCTTCTGTGTCGGGGCCTCTTTCTTCGAATTTGAGGAGTTGCTCCCTTGTACTTGCCTGAAGTCTTTGCATGATTCTTTCTTCAAGGAGATGAAGGGTATCCTTCATGATGGGGTCTGTCTTGGCCTTCTCTTCTATATTCTGGCAGATTTGAGGGAGTATGGCGACACATTCGATGTTGTTATCCTCGAGGGTGAGAGGTCGGTAGATGGGTATCTCTTCTTCTTTGGTTGCCACCGCTGAATCTTGACAGGTGGTGGGGTGGTGTCGTATCCGGGTCGTTCGTTGTTCTTGGGTTTTTTAGGGTACCATCCGGTTTGTTCCTTACTGTCTTGGTGAATAAGGCAGTTGTCGTCGTAGCAAGCCGTCCATGAGAGTTGTGCGTGGGGAATTTCCTTGCTCGCGATATTGGCTCGTTTTTCTGGAACGGGTTGGTGTTGGATGCGTTTGGGTTGTCGGCAGTCTCTAGCCATGTGTCCTGGCTTGTCGCAGTTGTAGCATTTGAAGTCCTTCCTGGGGCGGTTGTCTTCTCTCTTGGCGACACTGAGATCCATGGGACCGTCATGTTGTCCGTAGGCAGTGCTTTGTCGGTTGTTGTTCCAGTTGTTGCGAGGTCGCTGGTTCGCCTGGAAACTGCGTTGAGGTTGCCATTGGTACTTGCGTCCGGTGTTAGGTCGTTCCTTCCTTTCCTTCTTGCGTTCATAGAGTCGGTTGTCAATTCTGATGGCGAGTTCTCCGTACTGAAGGAAGTCTTCTGGTCTGTCGAGCTTGACCAGCTCGTCCTTGACTTCGTCCTTCAGTCCTTGGTAGAACATGAACATTTTGGTGTCGTCAGTGAGGTCCAGTTGGGCACTGAGACGTCTGAATTCGGCGGAATATTCCTTTGCCGATTTGGTTTGTCGTAGCTGCGCTAGGTCGCGTTCAGCTTGTCGTTTCTCGTCAGGGTCCTGGAATAGGGACCTGAGCTTCTTCGAATCCATTGAAGTTACTGTAGATGTCGCGTACTTCAGTAGAGCACTCGTCAAGAGTTTCTTTGCTGAGATATTCTTCCTGGATAGGTTCAAACCACTTGAGGGCTCGTCCCTGAGGAAGCTGGCGGCGTGCACAACTTTCTCGGTTTCGCTGGTGAAGTCTCCGTGATGGAAGTTCTGATAGTTTTGACTTGAATCAGAAATCCCTTGAGAGTACCTGGGGTGCCGTCATAGGTGATGGGTGCGCTGAGTTTGAGTTTCTGTCGTCCTCCTGGATGGGGTACCAATGATGTTGGCAGCGGCTCGGAGTGTTGACCTCTCCTGAAGCGCCTGAACATTGGTACTTGCTTCTTGTTCTCTGAGTCGGATGACTTCGTTCTCCAGGTCCTGAATGCGCTGAGGCCATTCCCGAACTGCTGGATCATGATCTTGAGGTTTTGGAGCTCATTCGCGGTTTCGTTGTACATGGTCTGTACCTTGGCGATGTCTGCGTCTCCTTTCTTGACTCTCGCGGAGTCGATCGTAGGTCTCTTTTGAGGGTGACCTCATCGTCGGAGTCGACGTTCATAGGAGCTGTCTCCATTTCCTCGGCCAGGCTTCGAACAGGTTGTTTGGAAGAGGCTGAAGAGCGGGGTAGGAGATTTGGCTGAGGCGCGGGACGACATCGTTCGTACTGTTTAGTTAGTTTTTCGTAGAGTGAACTTACTGAACAGGAGCAATCAAAGTGTTACGGCCAGCTAGTCGTAGTGAGTATGTTAGCAGAAGTTGAGGCTGCGATAACTAAGTAAACAGTGTCGTAGTCGTGGATAGCTTCCCTGAAGCTATGTCTGTAAATCGTAAGGTGGGTAGGGCTTCGGTGATCAATCGTAGTCTTGTCAGAAGGGGTTCTCAGTGAAGATAGCTGAAAGCGATCGTAAGATCTGATACTAAGTTGATTGCTGAAGAAGCTATGGAAGTCTGTCCTTGTGCCCGGCTCAAGTCCACACTATATACAAGTCTCGTTCCTGAACATATTCTTTGTCCGTATGTTTACCCAACGGTTCCCGTGTTCTGAACATACGGGTTCCGTATCGTGAAAGGACGGACC